AGCAATTTGACATGCCAGCACTTCCGCAGGGTTTTGAATGTGCTGTCCCGTATGATGTTTCTCACCAGACGTACTGCGGAGGTTCCGGTCATTTGCCTGAGTTAGTGCTCTTCTACTGTAAGTTGTTTACTCTGATATGCAGTGGCTTTGTGGTTTTTAGTCTTTTCGCTTTTTGAAAATCACCAACTTTTCATGCTGTTTGTTCAGATCATCTTTTTTGTTATATTTCATTCAATTTTTAGAAACAATTACGACAGTTAAATCGAGCAAACACCTACCATTTAAATCGAACAAGGTCAAACAATTAATGTAAAAATAGCATCATTTGCAAAGGGCATGGCTCATCATGGTTTCATCCTTTGATGTTCGAACTTATTGAATTGCATGTGTGGCGTACAGTTGTACTATGGGAGCTGCTAATTTGGAATTTTTGAGAAAATCAGAAATCAGGATGTTCCAAAAAACCGTGTGTCTCAAATAAACTTATGTGATATCCACAGAAAATAGCTAGAAATATTTTTAAAAAATTGGAAAACAGCATTTTCATTGAAATCGGCATGATATTAGACAAGTTTCAAAGTTTTTCTTTTTACAAAAGTAGCTAGAAGTATTCGAAAAATAGATCCTATCAAAATGCATAATTTCAAACAAATTTTCCATATTTGTTCAAAAATAGCTATATAACTCACTTGGTCACCATAGTACAGACAGATCTCCACCGATCCCGGAAAAGCGCCTGCAACCTTCCTTCCCTAACCGTTGGACCATCGATGAGTCGAAATTTTGGAAATTCGTCGTCATAATTGAGTTGCTGCTGGTACGGCAGCATTTGAATGTGTGCAAATTCATTTCCCTGCAAAATTCGGATACTATTTACGTGTGTGATGCGCGATGATAAAAATATCAATTTTCCTGGATTGACTAAGAGTAGGGGGAGTTGTAGATCAAATTTCATGTGTGAGTAAATAGTGTGCACAAATATGCGCTAACAGCAACCAGTGGCTCTCGTTTCACGCTCATTTTATAAAGCTTTTACGTCAATTTAGGTGGTAGGATTCAAATTTTCTTTTTCCATACCGTCATCTTTCTGGAAAGTGCATTTACCCATTTAAATCATGTATTCTTTCATTTTCGTACTATATCAAATTTGTGAGTTATAGCGTTGAAGAGAAAAAGCGTATGGGGTATATGGCTGTTGATCGGGCGAGGTGTGATTAGTTTGGATTTTTCTGATTTCTACCACTTTTTCAAAGTGATAGTTTCGACTGTAAATTACAAAAACAATTTTTCTTCGCTCTAAGCCTATGCTGTAATTGCTGCAAACCTTCCATACCAGAAAATTCTAATTTGGAATTTTGTAACAGCGGACAAAACGAGAATTCGTTAAAGGGGATGGGCTCAATGAGGAAAATTGTTGGGCATCTGTGGTTTCAACAAATTGTTCTATGTGTACATTCTTTTCAGTTTTCAATTAAACTCTTGCTACTTTCCAGGGCGACTTGAATGCTGCTTCAATATAAGATTCTCTTATAATAAAATAAATTGTAATGTAGCAGAGACAAAATGATCAGTAATTATTGAGAAAATAATTTTTTTTACTCTAATTTCACGAGTACAATGCTTTTTTTCTAAATTTGGCCTGCCTTAAGACATTGCAAAGAACCCTATACAGTGTTGCATGTTGCCTGAGAATATCGTTCGACATAAGTTTCGTTTTCCGAAATACAAGGTGACTGAGCGGCTTGCTTGAAATGAAATCGAAAAAGTTTCATCTTATACTCGTGAACTTAGGGTATTTTGTAAAAATTTCTCAACCATTTAGTCGACTCGAGACAGATTATTAATTACCAAGAATGAGTTCATTTCCAAAAAGTTCTCAAATTGCAATAAATCATAGCATAATAAAACTTAAAATGACATTTGTGACATGAATTCGGTAAAAATTATAGATCTTTATCCAGTTTTCTATAACCCTTTTGCATAGAAAACACTAGTTAGAAATCAAAAAATTGCTATTAAGAGGTGATCCGCTAACATTTCTGGCCCTATAACAACCACTCAGCTCCAAATCGTTCTTTAATACTCTGCAAACGTATTTTATGTACCTTCTCGATTAAAGCTGTCACACAACTCAATCTAAGAAACCCAGTAGAATTGTTTCGCAATCAAAACAGGAACTAATCAATAAGTTTTGAGCTTACAATTGCGGTTTCACAGTGAGCATATAAAATTTCGGAGAGTGCTCTTTGTGCTGAAACGGGTAAACGAAAATTGTCAATTATTCCAATGCCTTGCTTTTCGCCGGTGCCTAGAAAGATACCGATATATTTGGAGTAGAACACGATGAGTACAGACATTTTTTCAACGAACTCGTAAAGGTTCCAATATTTTTCGGTGGTTCAATTATGGCACAGAAAGCAGCAAAAAGGTATAGAACTCGTCCTAAAATTTAGTACGCACTTTGAATGGTATGAATGCTGAATAATTCAGAGAATCACAAAAAGTGAATGCACATCTAGCAACTTTTTTCAGCCATGCAAAAGAAAGAAAGGAGAATGAATGGAGTAGTAAAAATAATCTATTATATGTACTTGCTTAATCATAAGTATTTAATTGTTTTGCATCAAATTCAAAGGAGATATCCTTCTGATTGCTTTCAACTCAGCTTATGATCAGCCCAAACTTTTCCAAAATTGCGTCCAATCGTTGAAAAAAAGTCATTCAGATGAATCTGAGTCATACTGAATTATATTTGCATGTCACATTCACACATTCGATGTATGAATTACATATCCTTCACATCTAGCTGTGTCACAAGTGAATCATCGAATGCAATTGGGAATTTTGCTGCCACGGAAGCTTCGAATGACATAGAAGAAGAGCTCGAAAGATTCAAGTAATAGTAGGTGTGAATGCATTGCTGATACTAAACTTTTCAGGAATTGCATTAAGAATAAAATTACGCAGTTCTAGCCATAAAGTATTTTCAGGTAAGTAATTTGTCACTTTTCAGATATGTTATGCGCATAAGAGCATTTTTGCAGAAACAAGAAGATGCATTGACTTTATTTGTTTTTTATGAATGACGGAAAAAAGATTTTGGATTTTTGCATGACATTTTGTGCAGGGGCGAGGATTTCTGCGGAGACAAAAGTATACAATTTGGGATTCAGAAAATTTTGATAAGAGTAAAAAAATCAAGAATCTTGCTATCGAACATTTTCTACTTCCCAATCCGACAAGCACTGGTCCTAGTCTCTGTCCATCCTTTTCTTGTGTTCTGAGTGGCTCAGTAAATAAATAATACGTGAGAACAGATTGCTAACCAGCCCTCTGTTTATCATGACAAAAGTCATTTTGAAAGAAGATGTCTAGCTCTGTTTCATTTTCCAGTTGGCCAGATTCTATTTCGAAACAAGTCCGTCCAAAAAGCAATATTCAACAATTCTATCAAACCAGAGCAATTATTTTCTCCATCTTCTCTCAAAGTCCGCATGCTATGTAAAATGATGTGTTAAAATAGGAATTTTAGGTAGCAAAAGATTCTAGGGTGAAATGGGATAGAAAAACCACCAATGACTACGGTAAATCAGAAATAGGATCAAGTTTAGTAGTTCTTATTGAAGTGATATAGTACAAAACAGAAGGAGGTAGAGGGGGTTTGTGCAATTACAAAATATTTGAAACTAGATCTTATGGCATAAAAATGTATACAAGTGTCTTGCTCTTGAATTTGTAGATAATAGATATATTTTTCGAATTTTATAAAGGAATTAGCGAATTTTATGGTACACGTTTTGAAATTACGGGAATTTGACTCCACTGAAATTTGGGAAACTTGCTAAAAATTTCTCAAAAGTCTTGACCAACGCCATGCACCTTCATTTCGAAGGAATTTATGCCCGTGTCGTCCCTAGAAATTTTGGAAATTTTGCATGATTTTCATGGAAATGCAGGAGTCCAAAACAAAGGTTTGCAGAAGAGCCGTGAGAGACTAAAAATTTGCTTGTTCCTCTAAAATAAATTATTTCTCCTGTTCTGACCACGCCTTCTCTTCTCCCCCCCCCCCCTCCTCGTGCCCTCTTCATCTCCAATTTTTGTCCTCATTAGACCCAGGAAATATAATAAATTGCCTTAGCCTCTATCCATTATCCGCGCAACGTCTCTGACACATATAAGTGGACCAAAAATAAGGGTTCGGCGGTAATAGCACCGGGGTTTTTGTTAGTGTAGCCTGTCGCTTGCGCGTGAGAGGTGGTTAGGATGCATGCGGGGAGGGTGGGGGGGGGGGGGCAAAGAGGGGACATTGAGCAAACAATGCTCAGGTGACTCGAGATGGAACGTCGAATAGTGCAAGATGAGGATGTTCATCCACTTAAGATTTTGTAGTTGTTCGCGGAAAGATGAGCCCCTAAGGAGGAGAGGGGGCAAAAAATGTTTGAGGAAGGGAAAAAGATATTGTGTCATCTATGTACACTATAGGGCCTGGTCTCTTTTACGGCGATAGCGTTAGTCATCAGAAAAAGCCGCATCAATCGATAAGAATCAACAGAAGACGTTCGAGGAAACGAGACAAAAAGCCCCTAAGAAGGGAAAAAATTCAGAAAAAAGCAACTCACTATAGCTCTCAAGGTCCCCTTGACCTTTAGGCCCACTCCAGTGTCGAAATAAATCTGAACGCCGGTCTCAATCGTCAGAGTGGCGCCAAATTCGACTGTCAAGTCGCTAGTCACCCTATAGGGTGAGTTACGGAAGAACAGGGTCACATTATTGGAATAGACTCCTCCAAGAATATTCTGAATAGGTTGACGAGCTGGCATTAGACCAGGGTCGATGACCACTTGGCCCTGGGCCCAGACCCCACCCAGGAGGGGTAGAAAATAAATTAGAAATTGGTAGAACATCGCCATTATTACCTCATGTACGGCAGCTGACGGGTGGCACCAACTACGGGGGTGGGCCTTGTGCTAGTGATGGAATCCGTGAACACCTGAACACAGATGAGTCAGAGCACACCTGGAGGAGTACACACACCGAGAACGCTGGACGGGGGGTCCGATATCGATTACGGGGGGCGTACGGGCGGGGTTGCTAGAGAGAGGTGGTGCTCTATAGATAGGTGACCGTTGTCCGTTTGAGGTTCGTCGCTGGACACTAGGTGAACGCCGCCGCTGCGGTGGCGGCAACGGCGGTGGGGGTGGAGGTGGAGCCGGAGTTGGCGCGTTGCCAAGAGTGACCCCTAGCCGCACACGCACATCAAGGACGCTTACGCCTGGCTGGCAGCCTCACTGTCACTCGGATCCTCATTACCCTTTCTGACCTCCTGGATTGCCACAGTGTCTCTACCGTAGGTACACACAAAGCGCACAGGTATGTGTTTATTGTTCTCTGATGGTCTGGGCTCTCTGCACTTTATGTACTATCTCGTTGAACCTATTACGGTAGTTTTTGTATGGCCGACAGTGGTCATAACAATCATGCGCGGAAGAGTTTTTTCGGGAAGGAAAAAAGCAAATAGCAAAAAACTCTCGAAAGCATGGGAAGGCAAAGACGGAAACCTGAACATTTTAAAACTGACTGGATATTTGTCTGCCTTTTTCCTCAACTTCCTCTTTAAATAGGTAGCAATTCTTTGATTTTTGCAAAAGGAGGTCGTCTTCTAAGTCAGTTTGCTTCTTACTTACCATATACGTTTTATTTCATCATATGCTTAAACATTCATTCAAAAATGTTAGCACCACCTAAAAAAGGCAAAAAATCGACGGTACAAATTCTCACAAGTGCGGTAGATTCAGATAAAGTATTTTTGGTCTTTTCTCCTGCCGACCGAAAGCTTTGTTTTTTTCAAATCCTCTTATACTATGAAAATCAAGGAATATGTCTCAGTCCAACTTCCTTAATCTTTTTTTGCATTTTTTCCGTCATATATTCTTTCAATCCCTTTTACGGCGCCATATCAGGTCAGATGAAGTTTCCACTTAAACTATCCTTTATTGCAACCTCTTATCTTATCGGAAGTCCCGCAGCAGTAATTCAGCACGGGTCAATTGGTAATCGCAGGGGGAAAAACTAACGATTACAAATTGTGGCGGTGTGCCAAGCCAAGCGTAACACTTCTTGTTGTTTATCCCCTCCTCAGCGTTGAGTTCCATCTTATGTGCCAGGTCCAATAAGGAAAACTTTAGTTGGACTTTGAAAGACAAATTTGGAATTAGAAATCATTTATAGAGGATAACGGCTAACAAAAATAATCAATATCAAAATTTCGTGTCATAAAGTATGTCTGAGCGCATACTCATGAAAAATTGATTATTAATTCACCCTGGGTATGCTGGTATTTCCCACGTAGCAACCTAACTCAAAAATTAGTACATTCTCACCACTGTCTGTTCCTGACATTGAAAAAAATTGGCAGCAAGGAAGCAGAGCCTTGTGAAAAATTGCTATTCTTTCCTAGCAGGCCACATTTGTAACGCACTATCTTTTCAGAGAGTGCACAGCCCCTTTCCTGTCATTTTTTCTGCACTTTAGCCCTCCATTGTTTTACTTCTAGCAGAAAGTTTCACTTTTTCGCTTCTTGCTGAAACTTACGGACCCCACTTTGTCATGCCCCAAATATTGAAAATTCCTTATTTTCCCCATTTCTGACAAGCTTAAATGTTCGATTTGGTATATTACAACGCAAAAATTTCATATAAAATGGGCATTATCAGTAGCAAAGGTTTTCTTGAAAATTTCTCCCAAAAAAGCTTTTACCGATCGTATGTTTCGTGTAGAAATTGTAAGAAATTTGATTTTTAGAATTTATTGCGAGATAAAATTCATTCAATCAAAGTTCAAATTTATGAAAATCCTAGGTAAGTCAGCAAATGAATTGGTACAAACGAAAGCGCCTTTCTATGTATGTGCATGTAGATGTATGTGCATTTAACAACTATCCCGGAAATTTCCTGAGGAGGGCGACAAAATTTCCTCTTGATGAAAAAGCACGCCTTCCGGAGACTCTGAAATGCTCTTTGAAATTTAGAGAGCTCATAAATCGAAATTTTGAAAAGGTGGGCTCAGCTAATCTGATTTTTTTCAAACGACGAGATATCTCGATGTCTACCACTTATAAATTCACTTGTAAAGATTTTGTAAAGAGATAAAGTAGATGATTTTTGGAAATAGCCACGGTTCTCTGGCCCGTTTTGTCGCTACTAACACAAAAACGCTCGCTTGGTATTTTGAATCGAATTTTTAATGTTTAGTGGAAGACTTTGAATCAGCTCAATGGCAGTATAACTCTATAGGGGGAAGCTGTTTCTACATGCAAGAAGTCTTTCTCCAAACTAACTTTCCACCCTCCTCTACCTCCCACATTCCGTACACTCGTCGCCTTGTTGTGATTTCAAAAGTCTCTTTGTCTGCTAGTAACGCTCTCGTCTTACTATGGATTTTCACTCAATTTGCGCGTCGTAAGCGGAGGTTCATTAGGGACTATGCAGTAGCAAACACCAAGAAGTAGTAGTAGATAGCGTTTGAAAAAGTTTTGCACTAAGATAAGCGACTGGAAGACAGCATAAGGGCATTCACATAAACATTCGCGTCTACGTTTTCGCCCTGAAAGCATGTTTACGAGAGCAAATCACAGGGCTGCTGCCATACTTGGTTCTTGAATTTTTTGGCTCCTGGAACGTTTATGAATGCGAAGCCTTTGGCATGCAATAAACAAGTGACGAAGGAGTGATGGCCAGTTATGAAGGAGGAAGACATTCAAAGACCAATGAATAAGAAACTAGTAAATAGATGGTTATTATTGCTCATATGTGACAAATGATATGTGATAAACGATTAACCAAAATATATGTAAGGAAGCTTGCATTTTGGAAAATTTTTATTGTTCATTTAAAGTACAATAAAGAAAAAATAAGTAATGTCCAAATAATGCTTGAACGTTGAGGTAGCTACTTTTATAGCGATGAGTGTTTTAGTGAAGATGTTCAGGTAGGAAAAGTGAGAGCTATGAGTTGTAGAGTAAATCCAATTTTAGGATGGCCATTATTGTACCACTTAGGTCCGCTAGCTTAGTCAAATATCCCTAAGATTGAGAGGATTGGGAAATCATTTTCTACTTGAGTATTAACGAGATTCGGAACCTCCACAGAAGAAAAAAAATCGTCCAAAACTCAGCAAGAGGATTCTAAATGTCAAAATTTGCCCCGCGAAGCCCGAGCTTTGCTCTACCTGGTGTTCATTACTGGTTTCTCCAAAATCAATCAAAACCCAGAAAATAAGGTACATCTACGCGGCAATACATTCGTTCCAAGCTGAAATACTGTAATATACCCGTGCTTCATATCTTTTCTCTTCCCTTTCTTCATTCTTCGTCCGTCCCCGCACCCCTTCACGTTTCACAATGCTTTTCTTTTTCATTTCTTTTTGTATTCAAAATTCTGCTCCCCTTAATGGATTTGGGAATTGGGTAAACGGAAATACCATTTTTTGCCTTGGTCACCGCGCTTTTCCTTCCTCCTCTCTTTAACCACAGCCTCGTTATCTCTCGTGTTTCCTTCCAGCTTCCATCTTTTTTTTTCAAAAAGGAAGCTTACCGCTTGTTGAGGTTGATTCCTACCGATCAAAGTTCAATATGCAAGCTTATATCTTGAAATAGGAGCATTGGAAAATGATTGTATTAGGTTGGCGGAGAATTTCTGACACACTTTTTTTGTGAAATTTGAATAATTCAAAAAAATATCATCCAGTCGACACATCCAAACAAAATTCTTTTTAAAAGTTTCTTAGATTTTTGAGAAATAAAAATGAAAAGTGTAACAGAATTCATCCACCAACCTAATATGGACTAGAAAACGAGAACGATCGATTGTATAATTGTACGCTAAAACCAGTTACTACCTACCAGCTACTAGTTGTCAGTATTCCATCTAGTGATGAAACGTTGCGTACTCTCTTGACGGCTTTTTCCTCTCTATCATGTACTTTGCAATGCTTGTTTACAAAAAAGGGTAGCTCACGAGGTTCTCCAGAATTCAAAGGCACTTTCCAGCCAAATCTTTGTATTTGTTTCTCTTTGATGATTTGGGATTCTTCAATTAAGCAAATTCTCAAGTGGCAGCTCATCTGATTTATTTGTGGTCGAAAAATCTAGCTCTAAGCTCTTACCCGGTACCGTATCCTCTCCAGAACAGACGATTTTCGGTACGGTTTGGGCGAGACTTTACGATTATATATCTTACTTGCGAATGAATCGCATGAGCTGCAAGTTGGGCAACAACTTCCTCAAGACCTCTAACTTTACCTCTTATTTTCTGCCGTGCTTAACCTTTGAGTACCCCGCTTTCAACCTCGAGTCGTCAATAATTTCGCTATCTTTCAGTCGCGATCTCGCAGCAGCCTATGCGCTGCGCCTTTGGTACACTGCCCGAATGGAACCTCACTTGATGAACTCGTATCTGCTCTTTAGCGTCGCCATTCTACTAATGATGGTCGTATTCGTCACATTGTTGAATCTCTCACAGCCTCCACTGCGACGTCTCTACAAACACTATTTCCCCGGTGAACAAGACTACGAATTTCTGCCGTAGATACTGTATGGATACTGTATCAATATTGCTACACACCATACCTACAACATACTATGGATCTGATTCTCTCGTTGCAAATCGGGTTATCCAGGCGATTCTCTTCCTATGATTCAAGTTTTGTTTTTTGTGCATAATAAATGCTGCTGCTATAATTTCTAACAAAAAGATAATTACGGTTAGTGAAGAGGAGTTGTTATGCTCTATGGCCGTTGACAAATTCACGATAATGAGCTCAACGAGCGCGTTATTGCATTAGAGCATGCGATAAGTCGACGATGTACAACCCTTCCAGGAAAGGAATGTTGCCGTTCGTGAAAAATTATGATAGCAAAAAAATCTTATGAGCCTAAAGAAGATTTTTCTATTGCAAAAATTCTTGGCTTCAAAAGACGTTCCAATGCATCACGTCAATGAATTCTATTTCTTTGCTGACCGACTCGAGGATAGAAAATGGAGCTTTCTAAAAAAATCGGTATAAATTCTAGACTTGACGAATTATCTCAAATACTATATAATCAGTCCAGTATAAATAACAGAAGAATTCTATGATCAATAGATATATTCTCCTTTGATATAGTAAGCCTTTATGAGTTCTGGAAATCACAAATGAGTGTAAAGTTTTTATTTAGAAATAGCCAGAATATTGCTAAAAAAGTAATTCAGATCAAAGTGAGCTCACTTCATTTTTAAACATCTATTTTTTAGAAGAATTCTTATCGCTAAGATTTGGTTCTCCTACAAATTTCCCTTCACCTCAAAGTTCTTGTTTGCATATATTTTTTATTTCTTCAAACCTTGGTCACGCAACACACTTATTTGCAAATTCTTGCTTGCACGAAAACCTATAGAACCCTAAAAGCTAGAAATTAAACACTGTTCGGTTTCTGAATGATGTCGATGCATTCAACAAAAGAGCTGTGGATTGCAATGGTTTGCACTTGTGAATCTCACTACTCGTGTTTGAATTTCAATAAATTTCAAGCTTGTTTCACGTAGCTCTGTTCTCTGATCTGCAATGCAAATAGCAGAATTTCAATTGACATAAGCTGGATATAGACGTCTTAAGCCAATGCAGGATGCAACCATGCGAATGGAGTAGACTTAGAAATTTGGATTCGTGGTCTTAAAAGAGCTGAATTCTAGGTTAATGTACATTTTTGCATTGATTCGGATAGAATAGTATTGCTTGAATCTCTAGACTCAAAGATGTATTTTTCTAATACTTACGAGCGAGGTCCGTTTGGTCGAAGTGGCTTTTTCAAATGAGTCCTATGCCGCTTCAAAAAGCATTGAATGCTGATACTAAATCTTTATTCATTATCTGCCAAGCGCATCAGGACGCCGAGTTATGGGTGTTTTTGAAGCCAAAAGTGAACGCAGAATCCCGGTAGAATCAGCGTTTATGGTCCTTTCATCCTCAAGTAGAGCAGTGTTGAGTATGAGTATACTAAACAGAAATTACCTATTAACCGAAATGCGCCGGTTAAAAAATACTGGATCGTTTGATCATAGGACAAATTTTGTTCGATTTGAGCTTGAGTTCAGTTTTTCAACCCTGGAAACGCCCACGACTCGGCGTCCGAAAGCGCTTGGCAGTTAATGAAGACAGATTTGGAACCATCCTTCATTGTTTTTCAAAGTGGTATAAAAGTCACTTGAAAAGGGCATTTAGACTAATTGGACCTCCCTTGTTAGTACAAACAAGATTCAAAGAATGCATGTTTATCGTTTATGGTCTCTCGTTATGAAAAAAAATTACACATATGAAATCATTGCATTTGTGAAAGAGTGCTGTATCAAATAACACGTATCCTACTGCCCAAGGCGGAGCTACAGTTTTACTGAATGAAGGGGTTGTCTGCCACAACCTCTCTTCCTGGTAATTTGCAAGTAAAATGCTACTTGCAAATTTTGTAACCCATGCAGGCCAAATTTTTCGCGACATGTTTCCCTATGTCCTCCACTCTACTATTTCTGAAGAGGTAGTCAAATCAAAGCTTTTCTTGATTTCAACACTTTTTAGCGACTCAGAGCTACCTCGATAACAACTGATGCTGGAGCGAGGTAGAGACTTGGAGATCCGGAAAAAAACAAAAAAATAAATAGAAAGAAGCCCTATGTTACGATTTTGTTCAAAGTCAAGCCGCCGAACAGTGCTGTAAATTAGATACATTGTGTAAGGACATCAGCTCCAATCGCACAATTCAATGATATGTAGCTTGACTGAGAAACGATGCAAAGTTAAATGTCATCAAATACACGTCAATTTTCCTCATATTTGCCTTATTTCACAGCAGGTTTTCACTGAACTTCGGACGTTGAAACAAGTGATCTCAGCAGTTTTTCATTGAGTGAGCAGGTAAATGAATTGGGACAGGCTTGTCAAATTTTCAAAATCAGTGCATCTCTGAGCGTACATTAGGACAAACAACAGCTTGCCACAATTGCGCGAACATACATGCAATTTACTGCACTTTGTTGCTTGCACAAAGTACAGAATGAAGGCTAACAAGCATACATTGTTCCAAAGACAGAAACTGCCGTTTTAGATTGGAAGATTGCATTTTGGAAATGCGAATCAATAACTTCGCTTTGAATCGTTAGATGATACATGGCACATGTCTGAAACCACTTTTATAAGATATCTAGGTGCTGGGTGTATGTCAAGATGCGCGATTTTTATTGTCAGATGGACACCAACTAACCCATTTTTATTATTTTTTGATGTTCTAGAAGCAACTTAGACTTCTAGGAAGATATGTATGGTCTTTCCACAGGCTGCTCTATCTTATCCAAAATAGGTTCAAAAGATGAGTGTTGGGAGTTCAAAAACCCGTGAAAATGCAACTTATGGAATTTTTATTGAATTTTCCAATCAAGTTTTCACCAAACGGTGTCAAACTTAGCGAGTGGTAGCTTCAGACAATTTGTAAGCTGAAGCACATGTTCTTAGCTCTGAATTGGACTGTTATACTGGTAGCCTCTGGAGTAATCGCGCTTCTTGATCGCGTCAGGTTCAAGGGCTGCAATCCCCTTGCCGAGCGTAGCGTAACGAGGTAAGTACAATTGACTAAGTAAGACATATTTTTATTGGGATTAATATATGGTTGATACATAAAGTGGAGGGGGGTTGAGAGGAGGTGGGAAGGGCCCATCGGCTTCGGTGTTCCCACTCAAGACCCGACACGTGGTGGGCAAATGACAAGCTAGAAATCGTTTTTGGTGGAAAGCAAGGGGGAAATCGTTTTTGCGGGGTCCGGGGCCGAGCCCCGGAAGAAGATTCCGAGTGCAGGCAAAAGAAGGTCGAATCATGCTTAATACCTTATACATCTAATTCATTGGGAAGTAGTTTTCGTAAGCCTCAACGCATAGCGGAGTTCGCGTGCGCTACACCGCGCTGCCGCTAATTGCCGCGTGCGCGACGTCGCTAGGCGATGCCATTGAACAGCATGATTGCATGAGGAGTTCTCAATGCAGGCGTAACGGTATAGCACCAAATTACGTAAGCGGACGAAGAAAGGCTAGTAGAAACAAAGCATGAAATATTATGAAAAACTTATGTGAATGGGAGATGTGAAAGCCTTCTTTCCCAAAATCTTGCGAAACTGGTAAATGAAAATGTGAATTCAAATGGCTCGTTTGCAGCGCACAGATGACCATACGTTATGAAACGTGTTAGGTAAATGAGAAGTTTTATTGAAAAATTTTGTGACTGAAGGTTGTGGCAAGCTTTTTTTCTGAAAATTTCCCATTATCAAGAAAATGGAAAAATGGCTCGTTTGCAGCACAGAGAAAACGAAATCGCGCGAGACTTGCGTTGTATACGCGCAGTAAGACAAGAAACAATGTATGAAAAATTATGAAAAACTTATGTGAATGAAGAGAGAGCTCAACTATTTTCCAAATTAGGTGAACAATTGCCCACCTAATGTCCACCTGAGGTAGGCAAAACTTCCAGTTCATATAATTTTTTTCAAATTTTTACATAAATCTGTTGTGCGCCTAAAGTTTACTATATGGTGAGATTTTGGTTTAGAAACTCTTCCTCTTATCTTTGTTGGAGCCCAAAATCGCATCAGCAGCCTAGCTTTCTAGGATGGAAAGCGCGCCCCAGTCAATCGATACGTGCGGGAACGGCGTCTCTCAGTCTTATGACTGCGTTACTTTGATATTTCTTCAGTCCTTCATCATTTTTCTTGCTTATTCTTCTTCCTGTTTTCTATCTTTATACAGGTGGGGACTAATTAGAGGAATTTGAGTATTTTGGGCGCTTTTGAGCGCTTTTAGGCGAGGCCGGTGCTCTCGTTGCACAAGCGCAAAACATCGTTTTTGGGCTCAAGGTAGTATTCATAAAAAATGTTGGGATCAAAGGGTAATTCGTTTTGGAAAACCCCGCTTGCCCACCTCGTGCCGGTCCCTGTTCCCAACTTCACCTCAGGCGGTGGCTTTGCCTCCAGCCGGCAGCTGACGCTGTGCTGGGTTATCCCGACAATCACCTCCTAACATATCTCAGTCCCGACACTGGTTGAACCATCAAATCCCAATTTGATTGCCCTCACCGAGATTAACTGTTTTGAACTTTGAAAAGTAAAAAGCGCATGAAAACCAGGCCAGATGGAAAGGAGAGTAACGAAATCTGAAGGGAGCTCTATATCCCGACTCGCAAATTTATCCTCAGATGACTATACTATTTTTAACTATGACTGTATCAAACAAAAGCTGCCAAGAAACGGCTATAAAGAAGCATTTTTGTTTGATACATATGGGCTTATTTTGTCCTCTAAAAACATTTATCTTCCAAGAGATCATAAAAGGTTGCAAAGATGTGCTGAGGACCGGAAACATGGGCTTTATCTGACAGGGCGGATGAAACTTTGGGATGTTAAGATCTTGAAAGAAGGCATTTGCTACTAGGATTGCCGTCTAGCAGCTTCTGGGAAATGTTAGAGAGCTTTGAACGTTGTTAAGAAAAGATATTAATTTGAAGATAGCAACTGGAA